GTGTCTTTGATTAGACTTGAATTCTCGAAGTACGTTTCCCATACATTGCTTTCATCTCATTTACATATAATTGTAATATATTGTTTCAAACATTTTCTATAAACAGTCAATAATATCAATTAAAGGGAAATGCACATTCAACATCTTGTTAATCGATTTACTTTCAAAGTGTTACACATGTATGTTTTTTCATTGTCTTATATGTGAGAATACTTATATGATAATGAATATATATTAAATTCATTTTTTTCTTTTGTTTTTCACCCTTTTTTATGGTTTTAAAAAAATTACATTGAATGCACTATATTGCTTGGTCGTCTGTTGTCGAGTTGAGATTGTTGACTTCAAACTACTTTGCCCTTACCGTTGTTGATTAGACTTTGGACGGAAGCTATCCAGCTGTCTTACGGACCATCGTGCTTGAAAAATGCACGGAGGGGCACTTGAGGTCTTCCTCTACCAGATGATAAACTTATTGGCGTCACTTCTGGTATCAAAAGAGGTATAAGCATTCCTTTTTCTAAAGCTGTCTATATCGTGTAATTAAGCACTCGACTGTTCTGTTTGATTAATGGAGAACTATTATGATGCGCGTTTAATTAAATACATACAAGCATGTAATATCACACGCAGATTTATAGGAGTGACGATTGTGAGTTTAATTTTATCATGTCCCCAAATACATTATAATAACATGTAATGATAATTCACTTTTTTGACGTTTTATGCTCGCTTTGATATAGCATTTATTCATGAAATTTATGTGCGAAAATGTCGTTACGGTGATATTATTATATAATATGATATAGATGTTATAGTGCACGTGAGTTATGTTTAAACATGCGTTATGGTTATATCACATGGAAAACAAGGGACGTCAAGGGAAGTTTATTCAGAAAATTGTCATATTTTACAACTGCATTAGAAATTAAAAACTATTTTTAAAAATATACATTGAGTACTGTTATACTTAATGTTTTCCAATATAATATCTTTAAGCATTGAATATTGAGGATTTGCGCTTATATTATTACATGATTTGCGCAAGAACTTTATGTCAATGAATAATACAACGATAAAAATAATGAAATCGTACTGAGCTTTTCGAAAAATACGACACACATAAACATATACTGTCACATAAAGTCATAGGGCGACTTAAGTCAAATTAAAGCAATATTGCAATCACAAAAGTCACTATGTTCACGAAATGATCCTTGCAATTATGCATTCGTTAGGTCTCTGTCATACCCAGAGTGCACCTTGCAAGTCACGTAAATGCTGCAAACGCAAAAAGACGTAAATTATTTGCAAATTTTACGAAACTTGATGAAGAAATAATGGTGGCATATTTCTGTCACCAGATAACCATATAACTAACTAGTTAATTAAGACGTAAGTTAGTTAGTTAAGAGGTTAACTAGTTACGTAACTAGTTGACCTCATAAATAAATAAATAGTTTGTTAATAGGTTAACTAGTTACGTAACTAGTTAACCTCATAATATTAAGCTGGTAAAATAATAAAAGGATGGCAGCTGTAGGCATTTACATGCATTTATATGCCCGATTTTTCAATGTATGATAACTCTGAAGATGTATTGACACAAAGGGACCCGGCAGTGTTTGGATAGTGTAAAAAAGTAATTCTAGAAAAAAAATATTGTTTATATATTATATATAGACAAGGGGTTGAACTCGCCAAATCGGCAGAATTCCAATAGTCCAGTATAAGTCAAAATTGCAGTCATTTTTTAAGTAAATCATATTAAGTTATATATCAATTTGCAGCTAAATGACAACACTTGACGTTGGCAATAACATTATTGTTTCCACTTAAACCGTTCTTGAACAACAAACCAATATTTCGGATGGAACATCGTATTTTTGCTAGGTCGACAACAACCGTGCAACCTGTCAACACTTAATTTTCTACGTGTAAAAACGCAATTCTAAACCATGTCATTGTACCAACCAGCAAAAAAATCGATAAAACAAAACCAAAGAAACAACTTACTGCTGGAAATTGTTTTAAAACCAATCAATTATAGCAAACATTCCTTTTTTTTTACTCTTCCGTTTAAATATATTTTTTAAAGCCATGAGACATACTCGGCTCCGGTTGTAAGACGCCGTTTGATTGGACGATACTGTGACCCAGATCAGCTTTGTTTTTTAATCAACCAATGAAATAATCCGTTTCAAATCGGTCACATGATAGCCAATGGATGCCGATAACAACTTTCATTTTCACATTCAGAAATTAGTTGTTTACAGATGTAATAAAACATTTTATAAATCGATTTCAGGCGGTAAGTTGTTTCTTTGTTGTTTTTTTATCGATTTAGTGCGAGTTGCGACAATGACATGGTTTAGAATTGCTTTTTAACACGTAGAAAATCGAGTGTTGACAGGTTGCAAGGTTGATGTCGACCTAGCAAAAATACGATGTTCCATTCGAAATATCGGTTTGTTATTTAAAAACGGTTTAAGTTGGAACAATAATGTTATTGTCAACGTCAAGTGATGTCATTTAGCTGCAAATTGATATATAACTTAATATGATTTACGTAAAAATGACTTTGCAATTTTGACTTATACTGGACTAGTGACATTCTGCCGATTTGGCAAGTGCAACCTCTTGTCTATATATTACATATAAACTTTATATATTTTTCTTCTAGAATTACTTTTTTACACTATCCCAACACTGTGCCGGGTCCCTATGTATTGACACAAAATACAAGATGTAAGGCAAGCTTAATCATTAAAGTTTAATTTAACACCTAAAATTCATTTTTTTAAAGATGAGAATGACCATTTTTGACGAGTGTACAAGTTTTTCGAAAAACTTCGTGACAGTTATCACAAGAACACAATCCCTCGTGTAACAGTTCCTCCCCCGTGATTCTATAGAATAGGAAATTATTTAAAACAACATACTGTCATCTTGGCAATAGTTCTTTTAGATATAAAAGGATCCTTTATTTGTTTTCTTTCTCATCAGTCACAAATTATTTCCTAATTTTCAATCATTTAGTTGTTGATCAGTTACAAATTATTTATCATTTTCGGATTTACCTGTCCGTGCTCTGTCTTGTGCCCTGTCCTGCTTTTTTAGTGGGGTCCGTCTGGGCTCCTTGCCACTGGTTCTTGTTACTAGGTCGTAAGCGGGGTGCGTTCATTCAACGCCGCCTTTCCTTGTTGATCTTGTTTATCATATTATATTTTCTGACGGTATTTCCATACAAAAATGTCGAACAAGCAATATTTTTGAAAAATAATTGATTACTTTATCCCCTTTTCGTGAATGTGAATAATTTGAAACTGGACGGTAGTTTGCACTTGACAGTACCGTCCATAAACAGGCTCAATGCAACATTTTCAATTTTGCCGTGTCGGGCTTTCTTTGGGGATTCTAATTTTCTCTATTTTATCGCCATGATAAAAGCGGCGTGTGGTCCTCAAGTAATAAAAAGCGTGTGCCCTAAACGAGAAAACAATGGGCGGAACTAATTAAAATGGAATTTTGAAAGGGGATCAGAGGTTATGATGCCTGCATATCACAGATAAGAGGTCAAAAGACAAATTTAAAAAGCAGGCAACATATCCTAAGGGTGATTCAACATTATTCAAGTAGGAATATTGGAGCCACCCGACTAGAAAATGCCGAAAAGTTGAAACGAAAAATACCACAAGCACAACAATAATGTCGTGCTGAACGATCTTCAAGGATCGAAAATATAACATCATTGATTAAATGTACGGGGAGACTTTTTACAGCCGCCACACGGCACAAATAACACGGATGTGATCATAAAATAGATAAATACAGAATCCCTAAAGAAAGCCCAACACGGCAAAATTGAAAATGTTGCAGGCTCGGTTTGATTGAGCCTGTTCATGGACGGTACAAGTTCACTGTTGAGTTCATCTTCTTGAAATTTCCTTTTAATAGCTTCATTTTCTATTTTTTGACGGTCAAGGTACAACCACAGGTATACACTTTTGCTCGTGTCTCTTGTTGTTTCTCGTCTACGGTAAGTATCTTCCCTTGTCCCTGGTTTATATTTATTTTATTCCCCCCCCCCCTTCCCCGTGTCTCATGTCCCCTTCCCCTGTGCCTTTTGACATTGTGGGCCTTACATTAAATCATTTATTTGTTTTGTTTTATTTCAATATAAGTTACTTATTATGTATTCTGATGTAGTGGTTTGCCTGCCCGTACTCTGCCTTGTGCCCTGTCCTGTTTTTCTTTGGGGTCCTCCTGGGCTCCTTGCCGCTGGCGCTTGTTGCTGGGTCGGGTGGGGGCTGCGTTCATTGAAGGCCGCCTTTCCTTGTCGATCTTGTTTATCATATTTTCGGCGTGTGTCAAAGACCATAATGACCTCCCCTCCCCTCTCCCACCATCCCACATGCTACAACCCGACTGCCTTATAAATTAAAAAAAAAAATTTTGATGACTATACGAGGGTTGTTCGGAAAGTTTTGAGACTGGGTCAATATTTAGCGTTGGAAAAGATAAAATCAAACAAAAGTTTACTATGTATTACTTTAATACCTCATCTATTATAGTGTAAAATTTCATAACAATAGCTTCATGTATACAAAAGCTACAAAGCGTTAGGCACAGACATTACCGGTGACCCGGCGCACGCAACGACGTTATCCGACGTTGCCGTTATTTCCAGAGTTTAACGTCACCGTAGAAAAGTCAACTGCTACTCCTTTTCAAAGTAACCTTCACAACGTACACATTTCTCATGCCTCGTCACCCACTTGCAAGTGTCTCAGTTAACATTTTGTGAGCAGTTGCCGTACCTACATCACAAACTTCTGCAACTTCTCTTACTGTTATGCGACGGTCGCACTGAAGCGCGTTTCTTGCAAGTGTCAGTTTATCGTCGATGACGGATGGGCGACCGCTCCTTTCCTTGTCTTTTGTTGACTTTCTGCCATCCCGAAACTCTTTATGCCATCTAAATACCAATGGTCGACTAACAGTACGTCCGTTGTTTGCCTGTTTTAGAAGTTGCTTAGTTTCTGTTGGCGTTTTCCCAAGATTAACGCAAAACTTAATAAAAACACGCTGTTCCTCTTTTGACGGTGTTTCCATAGTCGTTGTCTTGTCGCGCACGTATTGCTATAATGATCTGCGGTAACGGCTTCAACAACTAGCGGAAATGACGTCCTTAAGTTGGAAGTGACGTCATGAAATTTTCGTGACGTTTGGCGCAATTTTAGGGGCTCTTTTTTATTCAGTAAGAAAATTTATAACAAGAAAATAGTCCGTGCGCCAGGATGCGTAGACAGGTGTTGCTATGGAAACGATTATATGCCGTATAGTAACGTTACAACGTTTTAAAGACATAACTCGGATAAATAACATATTAAGCTATTATTTGTATTAAATAATATTCGCAGAGAGAAAATCATATTGTCTCAAAACTTTCCGAACAACCCTCGTATAAATATTATTGACTTTATTATTTTTTCGTTCGTTTTCATTGTTAATTTCTAGCGAGGTTTCAAAGCAATTTGCCGTATAAAAAGCTGAATTTGATTTGTAAAATGTTCAAAATACCAAGATACCTTGTTAAAATAGAGTGAAATAAGAATCCCTAAAGAAAGTCCAACGCGGCAAAATTGAAAATGTTGCAGGCTCGGTTTGATTGAGCCTGTTCATGGACGGTACTGTAAAGTGCAATCTACCGTCTACGCCCCCTAGCACCGGCTTAAGCAGAATTCAACATTTAACATGAACTGGTAAAATTTACAATTTTGAAACATCCGCAGATGGAAGAAACCATCCTCGGTGGAAGAAAACATCAATAATCCAAACCAGGAAATGGACGTTGCTTCGGCGGCAGCCATATTGTTCAATATCGATTACTTCCCTAAGCGGTACGGACTAAATCCCGGACTATTCCCGAACTTTTACCGGACGGAGCAAATTCCCGGCGTTTTCACGACCGGGAGTCGCGATTTTGAAAATCACGGACTTTTCCCGTTTTCCCGGTAGCGTGGGAACCCTGCGGTCATCTGCGGATGTTTCAAAATTGTACCAGTTCATGTTGAATTCTGCTATGGGGCGTAGACGGTAGTTTGCACTGGACAGTACCGTCCATGAAGAGGCTCAATCAACCCGAGCCTGCAACATTTTCAATTTTGCCGTGATGGGCTTTCTTTAGGGATTCGTATTTCTCTCTATTTTATAAAAAAAATAGCGTAATGATGTCTTACAAAGAATCATTTGATTGAAATACTGGCCTAAACAAACATTTTGGGCGTAGTAAGTTTGTGACATCACAAATTGTGCGCCAAAACAGAAATGGGCACTCCTGAGCTATTTTGTCGTTTCCTCAAATAAAGAAACATGCACACTAGCTGCTCACCACGACGAAACCAAAATGTTAAAGATGTGACGGTCTCTTTTTGGTAAAAAATGTTTTCCTTTTCTGCCGGAAAGTATTATTACATTCATTTTGTTATATAAATATTTGAGTTTGGACTTATTTTTAACCTTATCGTACACATCTAATTTGAGACGTTTCATGAGGAGAAGCCTCGGCCATAAAAATCAATTGAATATAAATGACACATGATCCGGTTCGTCGGAGGTGCCAACAATGATTTCGTTTTTCTTTTAATTTGTCGTTGTTATTTTCTGCTGTTTGGTTTTTTGTTTTAGTACGAAAAGTTGCTAAAGAATGAAGTTGCCATGGTATTGCGATACAACTTCTACAGCACATCTTTATGGCAAACATAGCATTATAAAAAAACTCCTTGTGTGCGTTTGATCACCTTTAAATTAACTGTTATTCACAGAAAGGACAACAAATTAATCATCGCCATCTTCACATGTTTTCCACCGTCCAACCCACCGACCATGAACGCATTCATTGCAGGAGTTGCATTGTATAAGAGAACAAACTTAACAACCGTTTTTATCGTTTTCGTCTTCCGGTTTTCTTTGAAATTCCCTTTTCTTTCTAAGAATATGAAGACCTTTTCTTTCTCCTTTGCTGCATTGGTCGAGTAAGTTCCTCCTTAATACCTTAAGTTGTTCTATAATATTCATTAGTTTCTGCTGGTATATCTTATGTTATTTTGGTATCAAATACGGATGGTGAAAGCAGTGTTATTTTGATATCAAATAGTAAAAGCATTTTTTCACACATTCCAAACTCCGACACAATGGTCTCCCTTCGCTTCGCTACACAGACGACTGCTATCACAAGTTTTTTTTAATTCAGAAAAAATATTTTGATTATAAAAAAAATTCTTATATATATAATAAAATGATAACGTGTCGCTAAAAGATTGCCTAAATGTCATGAAAAAAAAATATATCGAAAATAGTCTAGCGCGCGCTTGCTCTGGGACGTTGAGAACCGAACGCCATGACACGTTGTAAAGTTATGAAGAATCTTGATAATTCTGCGATATATGCAAAATGCTCAAAACAGCACTCAGCTCATTGTGTCCAAGCATGGCTCCAATGTCTTGCTAATTAATCTTAGCGGTGAGATGCATGAATGAGCACACATAATTTATAATACGGTATGTACGTATATTTACATAGAGATGTGCTCACCATGTATATCTTATTTAATGGAAAATTATGTAAGTAGCAAATCTTAAACATACGTAATTTATATATATATATATATATATATTATATATATATATATATATATATATATATATATATATATATATATATATATATATATATATATATTTATGAAACTTACAATAACTTCCCAGTACAATACAGTGAAGTATAGACAGGAAAATAGAGTGATAGTAGTTTTGGTTAAAATTATTTGAGAAATAAAAACCAAAAACTACAATCACCAAAATAAAAAAATAACTGCATTTTAAAGCAATTTACTCCCCACCACCCCCCCCCCCTCTTTAAAATGTCCCAAGTTAAAATAGGATGTTGGAATTTCAAAGAAAAGTAAACCGTTATAAAGATGATGATGTGCAAATAAATTACTGAGTCATCCAAAGGCCCTTTTGTAACAATTATGGTAGTAAGTCTGTGCCAGGCTGAAAGTTTCTCTGATCTTGAGTTCATCAAGATGGCGTATGTTGCTGCTATCGGAGCAATTTTCGTTCTGTTGGTTCTCCAGTACTAGAAGATATTGTTGCAAAGACATCCAACAAGAATTGGATTCTAAAAAGGTGGTTGCATTAACACATTTTAGCTCATTTAGAAATTATCTAAGTGATAACAGAAGTAAAACTAAGTAGTACAAAAAAACACATACATCATGTACTGCTACATTTAAGCTTAAGAGAAAGAAATTACTATTTACACCTATGATACATTCTGCATTAATACTATTATAGAATAGATAAATACAAAATCCCTAAAGAAAGCCCAACACGGCAAAATTGAAAATGTTGCAGGCTCGGTTTTTACTTCAGTATTAATTCATATTCAAGCCACTACTCCTTTCCTTGTACATTATAGATACATCAACTGACAATGAAATTACAATTTAAAATATCTGAGTTTACACAAATGCATACCAAGTCTTGAGTAAAATAGAGAAAAACAGAATCCCTAAAGAAAGTCCAACACAACAAAATTGTTGCAGGCTCGGTTTGATTGAGCCTGTTCATGGACGGTATTGGAAAGTGCAAGTTACCGTCCACGCTGAAAAACTGATATACAACAGAAGTGAGAAAAAATTAAAGAAACAAACAAATAAAATTACACACACAAATATATAAATTTGGTATGACAATTCAGAAAGATTTAGGTATAACTGATACACATACATCAAAGAATAATACAAGTAACAACCAGATCAGGACTTGAACCCGAGACCTTCCTATAACCATGTCTATACAAAGTCTAGGCTGCTCTACCGGCTGAGCTTTCTGGTTATTAAACTTGTAATTTCGTATGATGTATATTTTGTATATTTTTTCTCTCTTTGATTTCCATTTTTGTACAATTTTTATACAAAATTTTTATACAAAATAATAATCCTGGTCACATGCGGCCTATTATGATATATTATGATCGGTCTTAAATTCATTTTTATATTTCATATTTTAAAATGGAGCTAATAGCTATTCATGTAAATACTTTACTTACTTCATTTGACCGCTGTTTGCATCAGCCAATGATTATAAATATCCAAAGCACTCTGTAGAACTGAAGATGCCAATGATTAAAGTGTTGTGAAAAAGCAACAAACACTCACCCAACATACAAACAAAAATAATTTACAAGCAGTGACCCGGTTCAACTCTGCCCTAAAGATAACTCGGCCTGGGTCAACTCGACCCATAATTTATATAATACATTATAATGATTAAGGATGATTACTTAAAAAAAAAAAACATATAATATTTTATATATACATGTATGTTATTGTTTAACAGATTCACACTAATATGTTGAGTTTAATTGTGAACGAATGTGCATTTGTAGAAAAAGGAATAGTTTACAATACAAGCATTTGTAGAAAAAGTAAGAATTTATTATAGATATGTATGTTTTTTCCTACTTTTGAGTTTAGATATTTTTGTCAGATATTTTTGTAGAAAATAACATTCATTGAAACATGCTTTATTTATGGATCAATCATAACAACATTTCATCTATTTCTATATGTCTACTAAACAAAGACAATTTCAAACATACATTGCCAATTTTTTTCAATTTCTGTTTGTTTAAAACAGTGATTGTAACTCTGATAACTGCATAGTTATTTACTCCTTAAAACGTTTATTTATTAAACAATCTATGTCCAATCATATTACAATTCATAGGACCAAGTTGACCCTGTCTGAGTTTGTATAGGTCAGGGTTGACCCTTTACCTTGATATAGGGCAGAGTTGAACCTTACCTTAAGTAAATATGGAAACAGCAATATGCCTACAAAACATTTGATCCAAAAATCTGAATATATTGCAGAAATACTGTTTACTGTACAGCATAACTGAATTCAAATCTTTAAAATGAAGGAGAAAACAAAAAGAAAAACGGCAACAAATAAGACTATTTTCGTCCTGTCCTTAAGGTATCCTCCATTTTTCAGTCACGTGCCTGTTTTCTATGGTCACGTGAACTTGGTTAAGGCAGTGGT